AAAAAATAAAATGGAACTGTTTATTATGCACAAATTAAAAATCAGTAAAATGAGAATTCTGAAGAAATAACTTCATAAAAAGCTAATCCATAGATTTTATTATTTATTTTTTTTTTTTTTTTGTTTTACTTTTTTGCTTTTATACGAATGAGAAGAAATAGCTTTTCTTGAGGCATGGAAAAAAAGAAGAAAAAATTGCTTTCCTTACCAAGCCAAACATGCTGTGGTATGATCGTGCGTGCGTAACCGTACGTGGATCGACGGACAGACGAAATGTGAGGAACATGCGAAAAGAGCCAATCGTGCGAGGCAGGGGGAGCATGTAAAAAGGCTCACCGTTTGCGCTAACGATTATAACTACCCCTGTATGCTCGCGGCTGTTCCTGCGCCTACGCCCACGCCCATTTCACCTCTTGTTAAGAATTAATTTTTTCATTTCCGCCTCTTTTTTAACAAGGAATATTTCTGTATCATTTTGGTAAACCGTGCGCAGTACGTACGCATCATTCACGTATCGTATTCGTGACTTATAAAAACAAACACTTACGCGCATGAACGAATACGCGGTGAAGGTAAGCCGCATGGAACACACTAGCTATACGTCACATAGGTTCCCCCCTTCAGCACCCGCGTGAAAAGAAGGCCATAATATATATTATATATGTATATATACATACACGCGTATAGTATCATATCACCACCGCGTTACTGCGCTGCGACCCTATCGTCCATCCGCTATATATACGTATCTCAAATTATGAATTACGAATGAGGTGCCACGATTTGTTTTTTTGAAATTTTCAAATTATATATAAAATACGCGTACATATGGAGTAGCCAGTGTTTGCCAAAAAGTATATGCATGTAAAATGAACTTGTATGAAGGGGGACGAAAAAAAAAATATATATATTTTTATATTCGTCCTCGAGTTTATTCTATCTGCATTAGATTTTTCCTCCTGTGTATATACCCGGTGTGTCAACAGCTATATACCAGTAGGGGTGGGGATGTCAACTGTGAACGAATGCGTCACGTAAGGGAACAAGAAAAGAGATGTGACTGAAAGTTGAGACGCCTCCACCCAACCTGGAACATGTATTGGGTGTATGTGCGCATGATGCCTGTGTAGAATTTTTTTTTTCCTTTTCTTCCCTCTTTTTTCTTCCTTTTCTTTCCGCCACTTCCTCATTTGCTCGCATAAATGCGCCCGTTTCTTTACCCGCGCCCAATCGAAAATGAAAAGATATATCCTCATTAACAACACGTTTTGTAACACGAAAAAGGCTAAAGTGGCATGCCATTGTGACGGCGAATTAAACGCTAAAGGAGGATGCACAACTGTGCCAGTTTTTTTTGATCTTAATAAAATATCTTGCAAAAAGGTGGAAGATGACATAGAGCAAAAAAACAAATTAGATAGATTGTATTTCTTTCACATAGAAGAGAATGGAAAGAGAAGGAAGATAAATTTTTTGAATTTCTTCAACGAATTCGATGGGAGCGACACCCCCAATCGTCACTGCGTCGCGTCGCCGGATGACGCGACCCTCTGCCCTGCACTTCCCATGAGCTACTCCTCCAGGGAAGAAACTGGCACCATCAGAATGAGCCGGCACACACATGTGGATTATAGAAATAGCCCAAGTAAAGAGGAATCCATTTTACTAAAAAGGGAATCCCCCCATTTCCACACCGTAGAAGATGAAGAAAGTTGTAGAAACAAGAAATACAATCACATAAAAAATAAGTATTATGTAAAGATAAACAGTTTGTTGAAACAGGTACATATGAACCAAATTGCAAGAAGGAACAGCAGCGCCAGTGAGGGTATGCATGCCTGCGAGGATGCCCTTGCAAAAAGTAGTGTGTGAGAGTATAATGCAACACGAAATAGTCGCGTTAACCTATACATGTGTGAATGTCAATGTGCCGTGCGGAATGAAGCTGATGGTTCACGTGCTTATTGTATGCGAACATATGTTGTAAGCAGTTGGAGCTGAGTTAACCAGAGGAATGATTGTATCCGGAGAAAGGGCAAAGTGAAGGACCACCCTCAATGAATGCAGATGTGAGGTGTCAGCTGAAATGAAAGGACTGGTTCTTCACCATAAAATAGGTGTATAATTTACGACACATATAAGAATTAGCAATGGGAAAAGGTGAAGCTTCTTTTTCTTTTTTTTTTTCTTTTTTTTTTTCTTTTTTTTTTTACATATTTTATTTTTGCGTCGCCCCATTCATTTTCTTCGCCGTTCTGTGTGGCTATTCCCCCACCTTTTTCCTTCACGACCGTCTAAATTTCTTAGCCTTTTTATTTTTTTTTTTTTGTTGTCTGTCTTTTTCCTGTGGCTCCGCGTGCCTCGATTCAAATTTGAAAAATCAAATTGAAATTTCCCTATAGATTTCCCCCTTTTTTCGTCCATTCGTTTATTTCACCCCTTGACGTGGAATTCCATTTAACAAAATAGACATAAAAGGCAAAAAAAAAAAAAAAAAAAAGGAAAAACAAAAAGAATAGAAAACAAACGTTGAATTATTTCCCATTTTTCTAAAAACTTTAAACACTTCGAATTAAAAACTTATATGCAACTGTTTTTTATGTGTGCAAAATTATGTGACACGAAAAAAAATTATGCATTGAATTTACCCCGTGGGGTTGGTGGTGAGGTGAAAGGAAGTCTGGGGGCAAGTAGTATGCGCACGTGTGCGCACGCGAGTACGCATAGGGTGATGGGTTGATGGAGGTACATGGACGGACGAGTGCCTCCAATGGGGGGGCACCCAGGGCCCTGAATCATGAAGAAGTCCTCGTGGGGTGAAGCAGTTGTGAACATCCAATTCGATTCAGCTTTGTGGTTAGAGAGTATGCATAATTAACAGGAGAGTTTTTTGTGAAAAACTCACCCCTTTACAAATGTCAAAAGTGTGGGCAGTGGAAACAGAAAGGGGCTTATCCATTGACGCTTCCCATAGGAAGGATGACAGATAAATAGAAAAAGGAAACGAAATTTAAAGGAGCATTCTTACTTGGGAAGATTACCCCAACCTCATGACATCCATTTCATCCATATCCCGTGCGTTCTTTTTTCTTTTCGCCTCCCCATCGTCCTCTTTGTTATACTTTTTCATTAGCTGCTTCAATTTGGAGTTTTCCATCGCAGCATTTTCAGTGACCTTCTCATTCTTCCTCGAATGACTCACGGTTCTGTCTATTCTTTTGGGAGATCTCGAAATGGATTTTTTTCTCGTTTGAATATTCTCCACCCTTGTGGTTAGAGAGGATTTATATGACGTGGGTCTGCGAGCATAATCCTTTCCAGTAGCGAGTGCCTTTTGGCTTTCTATTTTTCTATATTTGTTAATTAATTCGTTTTCATTAATTTCGTACTTGTCCCTTCTATGTTCTTTACCGTCTTCTCCGGAATTGTACGACTTGGACAATCTCGATGCTGAGTTGTCCCTTCTCCTGTGCGATTCTTCGTAGGATTTTCTTCCGCGTTTCGTGAGTGACCTATCACGGTGGTCTCTATGCGATTTGTCGTGTGAGGAGTGTTTTTTTTCGTTCCGTTCTTCACTTGTTCGTCCCCTTCTGTGTCTCTCATGGTCGCGACTCCTATCCTGGTCTCGACTTCGATCCCGGTCTCGGCTTCTATCCCGGTCTCGACTTCTATCCCGGTCTCGACTTCTATCCCGGTCTCGACTTCTATCCCGATCGCGACTCCTATTCTTATGTCTACTTCTATGCCGACTTCTGCTCCTGTCCCTGTCTCTAGCCCTGATCCTGTCTCTGTCTCTGCCCCTGCTCCTACTTCTGCTAGACCTCCTGTGCGTTTTTTCATTTCTGCTTCTAATTTGGCTCTTTTCGGTGGCATCCTCCCTTTCTGTGTCCCCTTCCCTGTCGGGGTCCTTCGAGCCCAGCGTCACGTATCCGATATTAACGAGCTTTTCGTTCCCATCGATTTCTCTCATTCTGACGAAAATCTTTTCCTTGCCGTGATTCACGATGCCTCCTATTTCGCCCTTCTCCCACTCGCCGCTGGGGTGGGCATCAAGGGAAGGGAAGGGAAGAAGTAAATAAACGGACAAAAAAATGCAAAATGGTAAAAGAAGACAAAGGAATGCACAGACATAAAAGAAGATAACAAAATGCACAAACGTAAAATCCTACTGGTCGTAAGGACCAGTTGTGATTACGCTTCCGAGCAGTCAAGCTGCTCCTCCCCGTGGGGACACCTCTCTGCAAGAATATATATAGGCACATGAGAGACATCTCATCTGGAGTGGCCCCCTCTGTCCGTGGTCTCACACATGCGCGTCTCGCTTACTTGACATAGGCCATAACGGGTTCTCCCTTCACAAATTTGGAAATATTCTCCTTGTTCCTTTTGAGCCTCTTCCTATGGTCACTCATCAACATCAGTCGTGCACCATAGGTGTTTTTTATTTTTATGGGCATCCTCGGCAGGACTGCGAGGGGAGAGAAGAGAAAAGTTAAGTGTAGTGGTATGTTCACATGGGTCCAGTGCACAAGAGTAGCGTACACGCTTAACATAAACGCGAAACACACGAACAGCACATGAACAAACGAGTGTTCCTCGCTTTGCAGAAGATACAACCCAAATGGGATGCAAGACTCAACTAATTCGATGCATTAAACGAACCTGTGTTGAAATACTTATCGTCCGCCAAGAGGGATTGAATGTACTCGCCTATCGTCTGCTTCTTTCGTTTGTCAGCTGATGTGACAAACTGATCTTCATCCAGGAGGTAGGGTTCGAACCACATCCACAGCTAGATAGCGAAGGTAGAGGAAAAAAAAAAAAAATGATGTTGAGGTTGACGGAATGGGGCATGCATATAGGGCACAGACGAATCGATGCGGATAAGTAAGCAGCGTGCCAACTTTCCCCAGAAGAAATATATTATCTGTTGGGGGTTATTTCTTTGATTTCTAACATTGGCAGGTGAATGGACGTATCTCAAATACAGAAACCCGCAGGCTCGTATGTAGCAGGAGTCGCGACTTTCGATTAACATCTTCATCTGTTTGGAGTAGAGAAAAATCAGAAATGATGCAACGACGGTGTGATGTGAAGAAATATTATATGTTAAAACGATTAGGTAACGTCGGTACCATCCCTCGTATGCAGTGAAATCATTATGGAAGCCCCCTCACACACACCGAACAAGTGGTGACCTTTCCACTAGCATTGGCACAACGCTTTATGCCACGACCCTCCCTCCCATAACCCATCAACCCATAACCCATCATCCCATAACGCTTCATGCCTCACCTGCTTCTCCGACAAATGCATGGTGAACAACTTGTAGAGGCAGCAAAAAAGAGTCGAGGGCGCCCTTGTACTTCCAATGCAGTAGGGTTCCACATGGTCGGCATATAAATGAATTTCGTCTAGCACCTCCTTAATGGTTTTAAATGAAATTAGCGATCTGAAATATTCAGACGATAAAATGTTATTTCTGAGTAACGTATTCACATTGTACGTTGTAGTGTTTGTCATTTCGAGGATGTTTTTTTTTTCCTCATTGTTGTAATTAGCTAGAGATGAATGGAAGGAGCTACTGGAGGTACTGTTTGCACCCATTCTATATTTCATACCCCCCCTGAAGGTATGGTCTAGATTGCTATATCTGTAGCTATTGGAGTATTCTTCCATTCGGCTTGGGAACCTACTCATGATGTTACTGTATGGGTTCATCATAGCAGCCATTGGGTACATTCCGCTGTTCATTTGATAGAAGGCCGGGTTCATGTATCCGTAATTCAGGGCATAGTTTCCTGCGTCGTTGTGAAGAAAGGGGGCGGCGGTGCAATGCTGCGTGATGCAGTAATTCGAGACGTTAACATAGGAACAACGACGGTAATCAAAGTTGTGGTGGCTTCCCATGCAAGCCTTACCGTTGAAGGGGATGACTCCCGGCATAGTGTTATAGCCCCTCTTGTCTCCCATAGCCCCATCGGGGTTACTGTTGTTGTAATAGTAGTCGTACATCTGTTTGTTTATGTCATTTTGGTCCTGCTGGTTTGTTTGGTTGGGCTGAATTAGCTGGTTTGTTTGGTTGGGCTGAATTAGCTGGTTTGTTTGGTTAGGCTGAATTAGCTGGTCTGTTTGGTTAGGCTGAATTAGCTGGTCTGTTTGGTTAGGCTGAATTAGCTGGTCTGTTTGGTTAGGCT